CAGATCTTTCAGGACAAAAGTCCCCCCTTTTTTAAAAAAAGGTAGCCAGCAGAGAGGCGAACCTCTGCATTGTCCAGCCGTATCTAACAAACCGTTCCGTTTTTTCCTCCGAAGCGGCGAGCAGAAAACACATGGGCACCCTACCGTTCCCGGCATCGTGTGGAAAGAGCTAATTAAAAAATCCCAAGAGAGGATTAAAGCCAGGCAGAGAAACAACCCCATCTTCGCTACCTCCCCCTGTACGTGCCAGGAGGGCCCCATTATTAAAAACCTCAAACCGGCCCCTCCTTTTCCATCCTCCTCTTTTTCTTCCACCTAAATCTCTTTTCTGGTTTGCTTCCCGTGTTGCCCGAATCTAAAAATGGCATTATATAATAAATCAGAGAGATTCAAAATGTCACCGCCACCTCGCCCGGTCAAAAGCAGATAATGTTCCTCACTAAATCCCCTTTTTAACTCCATGTCCTTTTCTGTCTCCAGGGTGTGTCGGAGGGGGTGGAAAAAAACACAACACCTGTATTTGTGGAAAATTTGTGGCTATTGAAATATCGCATCCCCCATCACATCCCCTTGGTGAGAACTGGACTGAGGGAGTGGATTTTTTTTAATAAAGGCATTCGGTAACAATGAGCCGTGTTTCTGCTGATCCTTGGGACAACGACACCCCTGCAAGGTGGGCCGGGCGGACAGAAATCTGTTCCCAAGGTCACCTGCTGGCTGCTTATTAAAGGATCATCCGCTCCTAGTTCACTCTTCGTGGTTATCGCAGCCCGGACAGGCAAAGCCTAGCCCTTTCTTCAAAGGTGGGTTGGACTACAGGTCCCATCAGCCCCAGCCAGCATACTTTGTGAGTCCCCTTTCTCCGGCCCCGGATAGCACCGCCCTGTTTGGGGGGGAGGGGAAACCTGTTTCAAAACAACTAAAAAGAAAACCAACCAACCTGTAGCACCTCTAAAGCCCAAACAACATATTTCTGCCCGCTTTTGTGGACACGATCCAACCCTTCAGACCCATGAAGGGTGACGCTCCCAGGCGTGGTGGTTCTGCAATCCACCACCGTTGGGAGTTCTTGCAATCTTGCAGGCTGCCTTTAGTAGGTTTGGCTGGGAGGAGCTTTTCTAGGTGGCCGTGACTGTCAATCTATCCGGCACTGACCAATTGCTCCTTCTCTGCCTCTGATTTCAAAGGCAGCCCCGCCTCTCTGCTCAGTGCCTTTTCTCTTCTCTAGACTCTGTTGAAGTTTGTTGTTGAAGGCGGTCATGTTTGGCAGTTTGCTGTCTGATCTGCTCAACCGTAAGTAAAGAAACGTTTGAAAATTTTGACTCCCATGAATGTCTCAAGACTGTAAGTACCAGTGGATGAAGGAAAGTTCTCTAGACTCTGTTGAAGTTTGTTGTTGAAGGCGGTCATGTTTGGCAGTTTGCTGTCTGATCTGCTCAACCGTAAGTAAACAAACGTTTCAAAATTCCGACTCCCATGAATATCTCCTTGAGACTGTAAGTACCAGTGGATGAAGGAAAGGCGTGGACGAATCTGGGGGACTTGAAGCTATTCTTCTTTGAGAATCCCTACACTTCTGCTGCATAGGTAGAGGAACTGGATGAGTGTGTTTCCTACATGGAAATGCAGAGAAACATAGCAGTAATCTTCTTCCCCAGTCTCTGGGTGTGGAAATAATCCAAATGGCAGGTAGCTTTCTGGTTTATCTTTTCTAGATCTATATTTAGATTTATGCTCTTTTCCTTTTTCCCTCCCTCTTCTTTGAAGTCATGCTTACCAGCTTCAGGGGCTTCTGTATAAAAGTAAAGGAGTCTCCCCCTCCTGCACTATCCCTGGATGGGTTTCCCAAACCAAGAAATATGTTTTCCATTCTTACCCAATGGCACATTTCCTGAGTCGTCAGTCCTCTTCAACAGCCATAAGTTCGGCACATATGCACAGGTGTGATATTTAACAATGCCAAATAATATTGCAAGTCACGGGGAGAAAGTTTAAAAATTTTATAGCATGGCGGATATTTTTGGAAGCAGCGAAGAACCAAAACATTGTCGCCGATGGTCTGGGAGTATTTTTCCTTGCAGGATGGAAATTTCCCAGCCCCACCGACTCTGCAGTATTGTCACGCTCGGCCCCTTGCAGTTCCAGATCTTCCGCCAAGCGCTGCTGGGTGCCCTTCACACTCGTTTCACTCCTCTGGATCCCGCTAACGAATTAGCAGCTTCCGACACCAGTTGGCAGAGCCGCCGGCGAACGTGGCCTGGAAACGAAAGACGGCTTGTTTCCTGGGACAGGACTAATAATTGGAAGAAGTCTGTAAGTCTCCTAGTCTCGCCTCCTTCCATTTCCCCCGCAGCACGAGAGTAGCTCCCCTCCCCACCTCTTCAGGCTCAGATCCCAAGCTGAGAGCGTGTGAGCACGCACAGAGCGTTATTCTGAAGAACAAGCTATTCCTGGTTCCACAGGCAGTACGCCAGGAGTTATGATCTGGCCCATCCAGACCGCTTAACTTGTGTGACTGGGACAAAAAAGGACTTCCTACTTTCATACCACAGCTACCTCCTCTAGGAGTTAACCTTTAAGCCATAGAGATTTGCAAGGATCAGCCGCAAACCCTTCACTACCTGGGTTTACAAAGCACCGTAGTTATGATTTAAGGGTTAGGGTTATGTTCCTCTTTACTTGTGTGACTGGGACATAAAAGGACTTCCTACTTTTGTACCACAGCTACATCCTCCTGGAGTTAACCTTTAAGCCATAGTGAATTGCAAGGATCAGCTGCAAATCCTTTGCAGCCTGGTTTTACAGAGTGGCACAGTTACGATAGAAAAGGCCCATCCGTCCCTCTTAACTTGTGTGATTGGTCAAAAAAAAGACTCCCTCCTTTCGTACCACCGCTATCTACTCTGGAAGTCAATCATTGGCACCCAAGAGGCAATGCAGCCAAACATTCCCTTCCGTTGTTTTCTTGTTTGGACTTTGCTGGACTTCAGATGGTGTACATTTCAGATGGTTTACTTGCCATTATTCAGGAGAGTGATCTGGGCACAAGTGGGGGCTTGAACTCCCAACCTCTCGCTCCACAGCCACGAGTGGGGGCTTGAACTCCCAACCTCTCACTCCACAGCCAAGACCTAAGAGGGGCTGGACTCAATGATTTACAGGGTCTCTTCCAGCTGTTGGAAGAGGAAGAGGGAGTATGGTTTTGGGGAACCAGGGTGTGGGATAGATCTTCTGTTTTCCCTTGCTGGATGATCTCCTGCAGAGGAGAAATGTTGGAAAGATAGATAGATCTTCTGTTTTCCCTTGCTGAATGATCTCCTGCAGAGGAGAAATGTTGGAAAGGCCGAAGAGGAAATCTGGTAAAGACTGACGTGAAGGCTTGACATCGGTTCTACTCCTGCCCTTTCAACAAAATTAAAATAGCAGACAGCCAAAAAAAGGGGTCCCCCGTCCTCAATCTGTGCATGTTGAACTAGGGCTCAAGATATCTGGGTTCAAATCCTGACAGAGCAACAAACCCAGACCCATCTCGCTGGCCTACCTCGTAAGGCCGTTGTTACAATGAAGTAAAGAGCAAGAGAGAGCAGCTCTACTCATTGGAGAAAGTGGATGTAAACAAAATGAATGAATGAACTGCTGTTTGCATACTGTGCCATAGCGTGCACGCACTCCCCGGGCGGTTTACAACGCATTAAAAACACCCTACAAATTAAATAAATAAATGGTAAGAGGCAGGGGTCAAAGAACTCTTTTGGGCTCTGTGTGCAAGACAGAGGAATATTTGACGTTCTGAAAACAACAGGCCCACGTAAACGTTTGTTGATATATCCACAGGAATAAACGGAGGGTGGGGTGAAATCACAAGAGCCAATTGTAAATAAACATGGTTTTTATTATTATTATTACAGTGAAAGAAAGTTTCTCTAAGCATTTCCTTCCAGCCCAATAGTTCGGTAACCAAAGAGGTATGAATGTAAACAGGAATCCCTCCTTTTCATAAACGGAAACAAGGAAAATCTGTAACAAATCGCTGCAGCGCAACCCAACTTTGTAGCAGAAGTACTTCTGTCCATCATTAATGGCTCTCTCCTCCTGGAGATGAATTTTAATCACCTTATTTGGATTCCTGGTGACCATTTGCTCTTTCGAGCTATCCCTGGTTGTTACCGAAAACAAAGCAACGAGCCCAAAGCCCACTCAGCTTAGCCCAGTTGTGAGTGTCCGTCCGTTTATTTTCCCTACAGATTTTAAAGAGCTGATCCGATCGGATCCCGGTGAGAGAGATTCCCTTCTGCTCTTTTGCAGCCCTGTGCATCTTTGCCTATGGTCATTCGTCCCAGGCCACGATCCTCCGGGAAGCCACGCCAAAGGAGGCCTGGAAAACCATCTGCCCCCCCCAAGCAGGGCCTTTTTGGCTGTGGCACCAACCCTTTAGAGCCACCTCCCGGTGGGGGTGAGCCTGGGCTCCCTCCCAACCTTTAAAAGACTTCTGAAAACACTACGTTGCAGAGAAGCCCTTTAAACCCTGCCTGATCTGCCGTTTTTTGCTGGTTTTTTTCCCTGTTTATATGCCTCGCTTGCCACATTTTTATCATGCCACGTCTGCCTCTTGGGAGTCCCCTGGATTTTGCGTTTGCTTCCCCGTTTCATTTAATATCTGTTATTGTGTGTGTGCATTTTTTAACTGGTCGCAAACCACCCAGAATAGTGCATTGCGCAAATGGACGTGGTGTATACATTCAAGAAATAAAGAAATAAATACATTAAAAACCTCTGCATCGTTGCAATAACTAGCAGCACTCAAGAAACGCAAGTCCAGGAATTCAAAGACTGGCTGCCAACTTCTTGGCCATTGAAAGATTTCTTTTTTAAAAATTCTGGTGGCCACAGAATTGACCACAGAATTGACAGGCCTGTCCAGAAATGGACAGGCATGTCCATTTTCCGTCTTATTTCTAAATCTAATTTCCGTAGCCAGAATTCTGGGATAAACATTTCGGTTTTCTTTCCCAAAGAGAGTACAGATTAACATTTTCTCCTTCTCCTCCCTTCCGCTAGCTATACATTGTTCTGGAAATTTGCCGTCTCTAGCTTTACAGGCACTGTTCATGCCTCTTATAAAAAGGGAATTATACATTATGCAACCAAGATCAGAAACCACCTCGGCAGCTTTCCGCTCGCCTCGTGCATCAAAACTGCTCCTTCTCAAGTGGCTGCCTTTGAGCACTTAATTAAAGAGCACACTCCATGGGCCGCGCTGCAGCGTTGCAGCGCTCTATCAGATTCGGCTGGGTTCTTGCACTTAACTGACATAAGATCAATGGAGTCCTGCTATTTTTCCCCCCCAATCAGCCTAGTCATTTCTCCACCCCATGGAGAGCCTGTGAAAGGCTTCACAGTAATATGGTATTGCCTTCCATATTTAAATTTTTTTTTTAATGGCATATTATTTCCACCCTCTCCCCCAAAAAATAAAAAAACAAATTTCCCAGCAAAGGGGAAAATCTTCCTTTCAGAGGCTCCTCTGAAGAACAGCACTCTGCATGCGCTCCAAAGCACCCTCGTTGTTCAGACTTCAAGTCTTGCAGCGCAACACCCTGATAATACTGGTTTGGAGCTGCAAACCCGTGGTTTTCCAGAGATGTCACCTTAGGCGGCTAGAGGAAAAGCAGCCATTATCCAGTTTATTGTCCTCTGTGGTAAACAGAGAATTACGTTTACAGCGGTCCTGAGCTTCAAATATGTCCAATTTTAACACACTGTCTTTCCTCCTATGGTCACCCCAGCTGATCTTTCGTAAGGAGGACAGGAGGCCCAGCCTCATGGCCACCTCCCCATCTTGTGTGTCGTTCTCCGGGGTCCGTCTTTGCTCCGAGGTTTCTCCAGCGTTCCTCATTCCGTCCGTCTCCTCCCGAAGACGGCGGACATGCTGCGTACGATCCCTCGGAGGCCTGCCGCCTTCCTGGTGGCGCTCCTGGAGTCCCGGACCAGGCCGAGGAGTTCGTGGAAGACCACCAAGGCCCCGTGGTAGGTCTCGGCCACGGAGACCTCAAAGAAGCCCGCGTCGGTGGAAAGGGCCAAGAGCCGGCCTTCTTCGCTCGAGACGGCCCGTCGGTGCTGCAGGTCCCGCTTGTTGCCGACCAGGATCACGGGCACCTTCCGAGCCCCGCTTTTCCTCTTCAGCTGCTGGATCCACTGGAGCTGCTGGCGGGCCACGTGGAAGCTGGCGCGGTCCGAGATGCTGTAGACCACGAGGAACCCGTCCGCCCATCGGAGCCGCTTCTCGTCCAGACCGCCCTGGAGGCCGGCCCTCTGCAAAAAAAAAATCCAAGAAATCAGAGGGGCAAACGTCTTGGCCCAGTGGGTCCCCGTAGCCCTCCGGTTGCCGTGGCAACAGGGAAAAAAAGGAGTGGGTAGACTTTAGGATGCCAATTAGAGCTTTCTAGCCACGCAGTTCTTCCTTGTGGCTTTGAACATGGAAACAGATGTGTGGATTAAGGGGCAAAGCAGAGACGTGGCACTTTAGACGGCTCTCCGTGGCTCCCTATTCAATCCATCCTTTCAAGGGCCCTGCCTTGCTTCTCCTCCCAGTGACACCTCTGCATCCAAAGAGTTGGGTACCACACGCCTGGAGATGGACCAGAGATTTATGGAATGATGGATTTCGCTTGTATGTTTGTTTATTTAGCGGCCAGTCACGCCTGGCACTCTCCGGGCGGTTTGCATCGGTGGTTGCCATCCAACGAAATACGATGTACTGCAAACGTAGAATTTATAACCACCATGATTAACTCACTGCCATGAGCCGCTTAACTTTGAATTTAAAAAAGGCAATGAAAGGGCTTAAAATCGCACTAAAACGCCGCTTTTAAAGGTGTGATTTTTTTCCAACCTGCTTCTTCAAGGCTTGACCGCTTTTAAAGGTGTGATTTTTTTTTTCCAACCTGCTTCTTCAAGGCTTGGAGGAATGAGCCTTTAAGACAACCGAGGTGAGAAAAGTTACGTTTTTACACCCTACCCTCCTCAGAATTATTCTGCTCGTGTGGCAAATAGAGCACTTCCTCTCCGCTTGGCCTGGCCAATTCCCATTAAACATAAATATCCCTTCCCCCCCCAAAACGGATGAACTGCCCTCAAGAACAAGCCTTTCGCTCCCTAGAGATGATGCTAAACTAAGTCACCATTGGAGCAGGTCCCTTTAAATCAATGTAACTTGCAAAGGGCTTCCCAAATGCACACGGATTCAATGCACCACGGCTCTCGTGTGATTTCCTCTGCTGAGCAACAGGATCCGAGGCCTTGATAAGGCGCTGCGCGCATACCGGGCGCTTGCCAGGTGTATCACTGGGCACACCTACGAGGAATATCTGCAATTCTTCCTGCATACGTATAAAGATTTTAAAGGACACTGCCCACTCGATTTGGGAACACTCATGGCTGAACTAAATGGGTGGAGATGCTCTCCAAAAGACCTCTGGCTGACCTCAGCTGGAAGCAGCACGCTGGGTTATGTAGTCCCTGCCAGTTTTAACCATAGCCAAACATGGTCCAAGGCAGCTGTGTTCGTCTGGGGCATAAGAAATGCTGGAGATAATCTAGTCTAAGGTTCCTGAGCATGCATGGTTTGGAAAGGAAATAAAATCACGCCCAACTTTCTTTTGAAAAATCTGGAGGGTCAGAAGCTGGGGGTGGGGGATCCCTGCTTGTTCTAGGGTGATAACCCTGCCAGTTTTAACGAGAGGTCTTTACCTGTGGGCAGACAGAGTCCCAGATGCTGAAACAAGCCTCCCGGCCCGCCATCATCACCCTGTGCGTGTAAATTGATTCTGGGAAAAGTGGAAATGAGACGTGTTAATGAGGAGACAGAAGGTGGAGGGAGAGAGAACAGAAAGGACGGACGGACGGAAAGACAAACAAGAGCAGGAGGAAGACAAGCAAGACAGAAAGCACGGTACCAAGAATAGGGAAATTATTCTTAAAGCTCACTTACCTATATCCCCATATTCACCAATAAATCTTCGGGTCAGAAAACGGACCGTCAAGGCTAGAAGAAAGAAAGAGGCGGATATATTTTATTAATTCAATTCATATACTGCTCATCAAGCAAACGGCTACTCTGGGCAGTGGACAACATATTATGAGAATGTTTATTGTGAATCGGACTAGGCATTAAAGGAAAGGCGTCTATTAGCCCACTTCACCTCCCACACGGCCATTTCTTTCACAATGCTTTTCTCAGCCATGAGAACTCCACCTTAAGTCAGCATTTACCCTCCGGAGACCAGTTACAAAGCCGGGCATGCTAAAATGCAAGATGTGCAGGTGATGAAAATCTCGTGCCGGGATCAACAAACCTCTTTCACGACCTGCGGGAGCACCTCTTCTACAGACGTGCTAAGCGTAGGGTCTCATTTGATGCCCTTTGCTCCCAAGTAACCAGGAAGTTCGTTCTAGCCCAAGTAGCGTGCTGAGGACCCCAGCTTGAATGCATCAGAGGCAATGGATTAAACCCACCCAGCTCTTTTCAGAGTCCCCCTACGGAAGGGAGCGTTGCCTGATATTTTCTTCATAGAAGCACAGAACTGTACACTCAGAAGAAAGGTCGTCCTGTCCAACCCCAAGGTTAGAGGAGATCCACAGAAGGCCACAGCTTCACTGCCATCATGCACAATTTGACATTTAACGCCGGCGTTTCCTCGGGAGTGGGAGAGACCTTCTGTTTGCATAGAGCCATCTTTCCCTGACTCACCCCCTTCCAGGCACTCGGACCACAACTCCCATCTTCCAAGAGGGGATTTGTAGTCCAAGAATCCAGCAGGTTCTTTTTTAAGTTACTGGTAAAATGTTACCTATATGGACACCACTCATCACCTGACAGCTGGAAATAAATCATCCTTCATTTTTAAAAACCTGAACTTGGAAGGCTTTCACACCGAACTGGTGCAACGCCAGCCCAAAAATATTCATTATCCTTCAGACCAGCCTTGCTTCAGAAGGGTGCACCATTTAAATATCTTTATTTCTTGCATTTATGTTCTGTTTCCCTACAGCAATCTTTAAGTCGGTCTGTGTGGCTTTCCACCTCCTCTCTTTTACCTTCTCAACCAGCTCAAGATCACCAACTATCACCCACTGGTAAGGGATCTAAACTCAGATCTTCTGGAGTCCTAGTCAGACCACTATGCCATGCTGCCCCATTAGCCGGCTCTTACTTGGGACAGAAGGAAAGATGCCAGAAATTCTCCTGCCAATTGCTTGTTTTTTTAGCTTATATATTGCATCCTCTGTGCGTCCTTTTGCAACACAACACCGAGACACAGGTCTGGGTCCCGAGCAAATCCCCCGTTCCTGTGACTCCATCCACAAACAGCCTCTTAAGTTGAACCCGGCTCAAAAATCTGAAGCAAACAGAGCCCAGTCGCCTTGTGTTGGAATCCAAGAACTGATCCGGGATCAACACACACGAACAGACAACCGCTTATTAGAACCCGGAATTCTTTAACAGCTGAGAAGCATCTGAGTGTAAACACCACAAATTCCTTTCCTTTGGTTTGCAGCTGCTCTTTGGGACTTAAGCATCCTTGAAGGCAGGCTCCTGGCACGCAAAAGCCCATGAATCACGTCTCTCCAACACCAACAAAAGACCCCAGGCTGTAATTACGCATTACAGGATTATTATTATTATTTTCATTTATTTCTTTTCCCCCTTTGGGTTTTGCCTGAAAGGTTAAGATCTGTTTCTGTCCGAGTGAGAAACTGGATCCTCCAGATGGGTAGTGTACACCCTCCCTCCGGCCGGGCTGGGGATGATAGGCTATGGAGTCCGAGGCAACGGGCGGGCATCGAAACTCACCGGATTTCCCCACCTTTTCGGCTCCGATGACCAAGATGTTGGCTTCCAGTTTGGGCAGGCTGCCTTCGCACATCTTCTTCCCGGCTTGCTGGAGCGCCGTCCGCAGCTGGACCAACATCTGGAGCGCTTCGGAGGGAAGACGGCTCCGTCGGCGGAGAAGATCCGGAAAGGAGCGCGCCTCGGTGGGTGGGTGGGTGGCTGGCTCCCCTCTGCCCGCCTCGCCGGCTTGCCAGCCTTTTTTGTGGAGCGAGAGGAGGAGCTGCGGATGGAGCAGAAAGGAGCGCGCCTCGGTGGGTGGCTGGCTGGCTTTTTGTGGAGGGAGAGGAGGAGCCGCGGATGGAGTGACGGGAGAAGAGAGTGCCAGCCCTCCTGGGGGGGGGGGAAGCTCGGGGTCCGACACGGAACGGCCGAACGCGCCGACACGCGTCGGGGGGAAGACACGCGTCGTGCCAAACTGGGGAAGGAGGCGCAGGGGCGCCACTGCAAAACTAGGAAAGCCTCCCCGCCACCCAAATTTTAGAAATAGATAATTTTAGAATAGTGGCCATGCTGATGGGCAGGTGTTTGGTACCCAGAAAAAGGATGTTTTCCCGATTCTTTCTGGAAACGGGCAAGGCGGGCGCGCGCGCGCGAGAAAAGAAAGCAACAGAAGAGGTTTTCTACGCGCGCGCACGAGAGAGAGAAAAGAAAGCAACAGAAGAGGTTTTCTAGAGCATGGTTTTTAAATCCTTCCAATAGCAAGATTCGTGAGCACGTTGATCCGCCTATTTCATGGATAATAATTAATCATCTATTTATTTTTCTCCTAGGAGACGGAAAACTTTTATTTAAAAATGATACCGTTTGCCAAAAAAAGAAAGAATTTAACGCAGCGGATGATCATGTAAATAATATCTAGTAACACAGAGGAATTAAAATGAGGGTGGGATTGTATATGTGATGATCATTAAGCTTCTTCTGAGCTTTAAAATATATAAACAAATATAAAACTGGACCAAAAAAAAAAAAGATTGGAGCAAAATAATGGGTTAGAAGGAGATGAACAGAAGGACCGATCCATCTAATCCAGATCTGGGGGGATAAAATATATTCTTTTTAAAAATATAACAATTCCCAGAATCCCTGACTATTTCCAAAGCTTCATGGGTGTTTTAATCCAAATAAGCCACTCTTTATTTAAACCTGAGTGTATTTTGCTTCTCTTTCAAAAGGCCAAGATGATAAGCAATTAAAACACAATAAAGAATATTTTAAAAACCCACAAACTTTCTTAATCAAGAAGCCCACTGGGAAGGCATGAAGCAAACTCCCCTTCCTCTGTTATTTTTTAAATTCTCAGCATAGAGGTAGACTGTTACTGACTAAGGGGGCTTCATTTTATAGCTTCTTTGAAGAGAGAGAGAGAGATAAGCTGGAACATTATTGCATTGGCTTCAGTGCTGGAGGAACCAACCTCTGAATTGACCCTTTTTAATGAGGACCTTAATTGATTTATTACATTTTCATGCCAATTTTCCAAAGCTTTGTGGTGGGGAGGTTAATTTTCTGGGACTACAACTCCCATGATCCCTGAACAATCCATTCAGCAACTGATCCTACATTTTCTGGACCCAGGACCTGCCTCTCGCTGTGACTTATAGGGTGTCAAAGAGCCTAGTCAGATGGGCATGTAAACAGATATATGAACCGTTGTTGGTACAGTTTGGTTTGAACCCATTTGACTGTACCTGACTGACATCCTGCGTCTTGAAGAGCTGTCCCGCACCTTTCTGACATAGCGCTACAGCGTGCATCCTTTTTGGGAGGATTCCACACCATCCTCATTACCTCCTTGCGTAACCTGTGCAGATGATCAATTCACACCCAAATGGAGCTCTTCTGCCCATCTGGACAGGCCCAAATTTAAACGACATTTTGATTTTTGATTTTTCAGGTCTGACAGAAGAGAGATGGAGGAGAAACACTGCCATCTTGTGACCTAAATAAATAAATAAATAAAAGCCACTTGGGGAATTTTTTATACAGTGGTGCCTCGCTAGATGATGATAATCCATTCCACTGAAATCGCTGTTTAGCGAAATCATCGTCTAGCGAAAAGCATTTCCCCATTGGAATGCATTGAAACCTGTTTAATGCGTTCCAATGGGGAAGAATTGTCGTTGTCTAGCGAAGATCGGCCATAGGAAAGCTGCTTTGCGAACCGCCGATCAGCTGTTTAAATTACTGTCTTGCAAAGCTTAGGTCCCGAAAACACCTGTTTTGCGAGCACGGAGGGAGCTGTCAAAATCGTCGTCTAGCGAAAATCGGTTTGCAAAGCAGGGACCAAACATTGTCCAGCGAAATTCCCCCATAGGAATCACTGTTTTGCGAATCGCTATAGCGATCGCAAAAAAATGTCTAGCGAAAAAATTGTCATGCGGGGTAACTGTCTAGCGAGGCACCACTATACCTAGCAAACACCAGGAAGGTCAAAATACATCAGAACAGACCTGACGATGGATAATAATAATTATTATTATACATGGCCTGGTCCATGGGGTCACAAAGAGTCGGGAATACATCAGAACAGACCTGGCGATGGATAATTATTATTATTAATATATATTGAGCTGATAGAACAGCTTCGTCCAAGGGTATTGCATTATTTTGCCAAAATATACATATATTGGGCTGATAGAACAGCTTCATCCAAGGGTATTGCATTATTTTGCCAAAATTATTAACTTCTTCAAGGGGACGATATTACTTGCGAATCATCAGTTCTGAACTCTGCACATGCCCACGGGCAGAAAACTTTCAGCATTGCCATATTTAGCTAAACCTGGCATTTTCGTGCTGAGATTTTTTGCTGTAGGAGCTTAATTAAGGCTTCTTAGAATTTCTCTTTCTTTCCCCTCCTTAGATTTTGGGGGCGGAAACACCCTCATCTCAGAAAACCAAAGGAAATTAATCAGTCTTGACAAGACTCACAGGAATGTAACCGGAAAGGCCATCCGGGCTGGGATGTCGGCTGGTTTTGTGATTTTTTGACACAGCATTAAGTGAAGAGCATGAATCACGACCATCATCTTCGAACTGCTGAGCTGGAAGGGACTCTCCGGATCATCGGGCCCCACCCTTGGAAAGGCGGCATAGTGGGGATTCGAACTCCTCTCCTGAATGCAGAAGGGTTTGGAAATATAACTTAGGAACCACTGATCTTATTTCCAGCATAATGTACGGGTGTGAAAGATGGGCAGCTGAGAAAGCCGACTGGGGGGGAAAAAACAGATTCACGATGAAACGGAGGCTGTCCTACTTTGGACACTTCCTGAGAAGACAGGATTCTCTAGGAAAAAAACCAGTCCTGCTGGGAAAGGCGGAAGGCTGCAGGAAAAGAGGAAGATCCCATTACGAGATGCACGGACTCCCTCAAGGAAGCCACAGGGTTGAATTTGCAAGAGCTGAGCAGGGCTTTTAAGGGCTGGACCTTCTGGAGAAAGCTCACGCTTAGGGTCACTCTAAACAGGTAACAACAACATGGGTCCCAAAAGTAACTTTTCCACACCGAATCCCAGGCAAGGCCCCTTGTCTCGTCCTTTGCTTCCAGCCTGTTTGCTGGCGTTCAACGAAATGCTGTCACGACCGCTTGGAGGAAAAGATGATTTGTCCGCTGGTGGGGAGCAGCCAGTTCTCAAGCAGACAGAAACCGCCAACTATTTATTTAGATCCTGGTTGTGGCCATAAACAATGGTCTCTTTGTGTCACTGACCTGGGGGGGGGGGGAAGGCCACGTTTGAGGTGCCTCTCAACAATCGGCGAGTGTTCAGTTTCTCCTTGTCACGTTGTCCTTCTTATCTGCAAAAAAACACACCACTTTTTGTTACCCGATCAGGACTTTCAAGAGGAGGAGGTTCAAGAAGCAGTTCGACCGGATCCAATCCGCCCCCCCTCGTCAAGTGAGCTTCCATAGTGGAGCGGGGATTTGAACCCAGGCCTTCTGCAGGGATGTTAGGAAGCCTTTGGGTCCAAAAATCCCAGAAAAAAAGAAAGGGAAGGGATGAGTTTTGAATCGAAGCTGAGTCACTGGGGGGGTGGGGAGTCGAGTCCCTGGTGCGAATTAAGCCCAACTTGGTAGCCAGTCCTGTGACTCCAGCCCTCGTTGGGGGGGTCCTCTGGGGTCCTGATCCACCACTCTGTCCCTTGCGCCACCCTAGGAAAGATGCACGATTCGTTCGTTCGTTCCTAGCCTGCCTTTCTCCTGAAAAAGGACAGCGGTCTCTGCAGTTTCTCAGAATGCAAAAGATAAGCCTGGCAAAAATTATAAACAACACCTCTTTTGGCAACAGAAGTGGGTGCCCTGTTTTTCCTGGCAGGCCCTGCCCGGGGTTGGTTGTTTGCACTGCCTTCCCCTACCCAACCCCATCTTGCCCAGTACCTGAAAGACTTGTTTTTCTACCACCCAGTAAAAAATAACCCACTTTAGACCCATAAAGTGCCGTGGCACCGAAAGATTTATTAAAGAGCAAAAGATCTGTTTGCAAAGAGAGGGACTCAGTGCCACAAAGGGCCCAAGGATTCTCCCTGGCGGGATATTTTAGGTCGCCTCCCAAATCTGGGACGACCTTCTGTCCGAAATCCGCCTGGCAAAATTTGGGAACATTCCTTGGGGACTGTTCCCGAAAAGAGCCTGAAAAACCCACAACAACATTTGAGAAATCTTTGCCAACTTCTTTTCTTGCTGCTTCCAACTCTGGGTGGGATCCCAGGGGGAAAGAGATCACAATTTGGACCCACTGCAGAACCGTCCAGTTCGACCTTTTGGGGTTCAGCCTGTAGGTTTACTCTTTTGGAGGAGGGGGGGTCCAGCCAAAGCGGTTTCCAGATGGAAAGGAGGCGGCTCGCTTTAAGCCAGAATGCTCCCCTTCAAACCGGTGGTTCCCAACCTTGGGTCACCCCCAGATGTTCTTGGACCGCAACTCCCAGAAGCCTTCGCTTCCCCCCCAGCTGTGCTGCCCAGGGTTTCTGGGAATTGCAGTCCAAGAACCCTTTCTGGTGGGATCAGGCCTGAACTTCGGCAGCTGTGGGATCGCACCCTCTTTTTCTCTCTCTCTCTCAATCACACACCAGTGGCTTCAGAGGAAAACACTATCCAGCTGTTCATCCCTTTAAACCAGCCTCCACCCCACACCTGGTAGGGGTGCCTCGGGCGAGAGGCCCCATCGTGCCAGAGGTCTGAGCTACTTGGAAGCATCCAGGGCGGGCGGGTGGATCCAGCGCATGTCTTTCAATGCGCTCAAGGCGCATTGGTTCGCCCTTATTTGTGCTGATAAGTGGACGCACAACACACACATAAACCCCAAGCCGAAGGAGGGCAGGATTCCGACAGCGGGTTCGGCTTGGCATGGCTCCCCTCTGGCACGACCAACACGCCATTGTTCTCCTTACGCAAAGCCACAGACCTCGGTACCAGGAAGAGAACAGCAAGACATCTGGGAAAAACACAAAGGGCCTTGGACATTAATATTTGAACATTCTTGGTCATTGCTTCCTGGGTCTGCCCAGTCCTCACCGGGCGCGGGCCAGTTTGTGGTTTCACCACAATAGCGGATCAAGCCTTAGAAGGATGCCTAACGTGGGAAACGACTCCGAGGGCAGAAAGAGGAGCTGTGGAACAACTCCCAACCTTGGGCCCTTTCTCTCCTGGAGGAAGAAGAGTAGCCTTAGCGCTCAGCACTAGAAGAGATCCTACACATCATCCAGTCCAGCCCCTGTCAAGGAGGCTCCAAGGGGATTCAAACCCCCAACCTCTGGTTCGTAGCCAGAGGCCTAAACTAGGGAGTTATAATTAATGTGATCTTAGAGCTGCCGGGCTGGAAGGGAAAGGATCATCGAGGCCAGCCACCGGGATCTATGGGTCCTCCCGCCCAGCCCCTGTCAAGGAGGTGGTGCCAGGGGGATTCGAACCCCCAACCTCTGGCTCCAGAGACCTGGACCACGGAGCTATCCCATGAATTATTCGGCGGCTGGATTCAAAGTGCGGCCAGAGATGGGAAAAGCAGGAGGCATTCATGGGAGGACTTTCAAGGAAAAATCCAGGTTTCGTCTCCTCTTGGCTAAGCCTGGCCTTTGGGGGGGGGGTCCGGTTGCTCCAGGGATGAGGAGAGAGAGCGGACCACGGAGCTATCCCATGAATTATTCGGCGGCTGGATTCAAAGTGCGGCCAGAGATGGGAAAAGCAGGAGGCATTCATGGGAGGACTTTCAAGGAAAAATCCAGGTTTCGTCTCCTCTTGCTGAGACTGGCCTTTGGGGGGGACCGGTTGCTCCAGGGATGAGGAGAGAGAGCAAGGGATGGCTGCTCTGAATAATGTCTTTTAATGATCTCTGACGGAGAAACACCTTTAAAATAAAGGACATCTTTAAAATCTATGCGTGGCATTTAGAGGCTGTCACAGTGCCCTGGAGTTATCATAAGGTGAGATATTTAAGGAGTGGTTTCCCCGTTCCGCACCCCCTCCAGGGAGCTTTTCATGGCTGAGTGGGGATTCGAACTCAGATCTCCTAGGTCTCAGTCCTTCGCTCTTTCCAGAGCTTTAAGAGCGGCGGCCTGAGCCCTATTTGAGACCTCAGGTATGGAAAGGGGCCGAAGAGGCAGTCCGGGTAAGGATCCTGTCCCCTGAACCGTTTTTTGGAAGGGCTTTTGCGCAAGCGAAACGCGGCCGCCTTTCGGGAGCCACAGGACGCTTGGTCGCTCCGCCGAAAAAGGGCAGGAATGGGGGGGGGGAAGAAACGAGGCATGAAAGACAGCCAGCGGAGCGAAAACTTTGCCAGGAAAGAAAACGAACCGAAAATTAACAAAATTAGCACCCCCCAAAAAAAAAATTGGGGGAAGGGGCGGGGCTCCGCGTTAAGAGCCAATCAGGGAGCAGAGCCGCTCCTCCGGCTCCCCCGCCCCCCCTTCTTGCCTTCGGGACAAAAAGAGAGAGAAAAAATCCCTGAAAACTTTTATTTAGTTGGCGCGGAGGAGACGCGGAAGCTCCCGCGGCTCCAAGCAAGGGGGGGTGATCGCGGGGGAGGACTTGGGAGAGGGTCTGCCCCATAGCCCAGAGGGGCTGGAGAGAGAGCCGGGAGGCGCCCGGCCGCCCCTGCCTGGGAGACGCCTGAGGCTTGGTGCTTTTTTTCTCTGTCTTCCAGATGCGCAACTCGGAGTTCATGGGGATCGTGCGCGCCCGCGAGGAGGACGACCCCGAAGAAGACCTCCTCGCCTTCCCCATCCCATAATATAAATCCGCCCATAAGCGAGGAATCCGGGGCGCTTCACCCAAGACTTAATTTGTTTCAGCCTCTGGCAGCAGCGTTCTGTGTGAGACGGAAACGGACGTCTGCGGGGAAGCGGCTGGAGGAGGCGTGTTCTCGCTCCCAGTGCTGAGGATGATGAGGATGATGAGGATGGCGACGGCGTGTGGAGTGCCGGCCCCGTTGGTTCGCGGCGGCGTGTGGAGTGCCGGCCCCGTTGGTTCTGGCGCTCCCTTAGGAGGAGGACCCCACCGCCTTGGGCCATGTGCAGAGTGCGCGATCCGCCGGATCCGGGCAGGCGCGTCCTCCCGTTAGGAGAAGGAGCTTTGACTTCGGAGGAGGATGACTTCGGGCAGCGTCCGGTTCCCGAGGAACAGCCGCGCTAGTCCGGGGCGGCAAAACCGCCGAAGAATCCTGTGTCACCGGGAAGGCTGCCCCATTTGTTCCAGCGCAGAAGAAGCGGAGCTGCGCCCTTCTCGTTCTCCGTTCCCGCTGCTTGTAAGGACCCTTCTCTCCCCCCCACCCTGCAATCTAACATATCCTATATGTCTCTTTTAAGTAAAGTATACATTTTAGGGTATTCTGTCGCTTCAGCTCTTAATGGGTTAGCTATCCAGAGAGCTGCTGAAAAGCTGTGTCTTTTAAAAGAATTAAACGCTGTGTTTCCAATTAAGGATTGGCAACTCGATGATCTCACTGGCCTTTAAATTTGGTTTCCGGCTTGGAGAGAAATTTTATTTGTTTTATTTTACTAGATTTATACCCCGCCCATCTAGACCAAAGGTCTACCCTGGGCGGCCTTACAAATTTAAAAATCAGGAGATGAGCTGTCCAAATGTGAGATCTTGGGAAGGGGGAGGCGAGGACATTTTTTTTGAAAGCCCAAGGTGTCCTGGATGGCCTTTAAATTTGGTTTCCGGCTTGGAGAGAAATTTTATTTGTTTTATTTTACTAGATTTATACCCCGCCCATCTAGACCAAAGGTCTACCCTGGGCGGCCTTACAAATTTAAAAATCAGGAGATGAGCTGTCCAAATGTGAGATCTTGGGAAGGGGGAGGCGAGGACATTTTTTTTGAAAGCCCAAGGTGTCCTGGAAACACACACATCAGGAAAACCAGTAGAGATGAGATGTCCAAATGTTAGATCTTGGGAAGGGAGGGGCAAGCACATGTTTTTTTTGAAAGCCCAAGGTGTCCTGGAAACACACACATACACAAATGTGTTACAGCATGGGCTTCGTGCCTTGTTTTACAACACAATGGTTGCAAGGACCATTTTGATATTCAAACGCATGGGCTTCATGCCTTGTTTTACAACACAGTGGTTGCAAGGACCATTTTGATATTCAAACCAGGTTCGGCCTTTAAACGGAGCACCCTTTCTCAACGGGGTGTGTGCGTGGGGCACAATTGGAGGGGAGCATCCAGGTAATCCCACGGTAATGAACCAAATATGTTACAAATTGCCAAGAGTGTCTGTTGAAGCGGGTGGGGGGGGGACATATCCTGTTGGCCCCTATTCCGTTTATGAGCTACAACCATCCCAAGATCCTTCTCGCTCGTAGTATTCGGAGCACCCTTTCTCAACGGGGTGTGTGCGTGGGGCACAATTGGAGGGGAGCATCCAGGTAATCCCACGGTAATGAACCAAATATGTTACAAATTGCCAAGAGTGTCTGTTGAAGCGGGTGGGGGGGGGACATATCCTGTTGGCCCCTATTCCGTTTATGAGCTACAACCATCCCAAGATCCTTCTCGCTCGTAGTATTATTGAGCCAATCCATTTATGAGCCACAAATCCTAAAATCCTTCTCGCTCGCAGTATTATTGAGCCGAGTACCCCCCATCTTGTAACTGCGCATTTGGGTTGTTGGGTTTTTTTTTTAACCCTTAGGTACAAAAACTTGTAGTATTATTGAGCCAAGTACCCCCCATCTTGTATCTGCGCATTTGGGTTGTTGGGGTTTTTTTTTAACCCTTAGGTACAAAAACTTTCCATTCGTCCCTGTGAAATTGCATCCTATTGTTTCCAGCCAACCAGGAACGAACTTTGAATTTTGCTCCTGTCTTCCAGCTATATCACAAAAGGCAGGGAATGTTACTAGTAAGCGCACATTGAGCCAAGTACCCCCCATCTTGTATCTGCGCATTTGGGTTGTTGGGGTTTTTTTTTAACCCTTAGGTACAAAAACTTTCCATTCGTCCCTGTGAAATTGCATCCTATTGTTTCCAGCCAACCAGGAACGAACTTTGAATTTTGCTCCTGTCTTCCAGCTATATCACAAAAGGCAGGGAATGTTACTAGTAAGCGCACAGCAGCTGTTATGGTTTGTTTTGGAAAGTGTAAATAACCGTCTGCTCTAAAATTATACTCCGGTGTTGCAATGTAAGGCTTCTTGGAACGGGTTGTGTGTGTTTTGGCTAAGATTCCTTCCTGAGCCTCTTAGCTTTCACGCTTGGATTCAGACCCCCGTCTGAATATTCAGATTTTCCCTTCCTCCTCCTTCCGCCTTTTAATCCTGTCTTTAAGCCGTAAACTTCAGAGGACGTAAGAGGACCTCTGTGGGTCACCCCAGCAAAAGCAGACCCATTAAAGGCCAGGGGATCGATGGGGTCTACTCTGGTGAAGGCTAGCACCCAAACACTGGCCATCAAATTTTTATTTCCCATTGCAGAGCGTTTGTGAGTGTTTGTGGCTGCTGTAACGTGCCGCCGAGACGCCTCTGACTCACGATGAGCCCACGAATGAGCCATCTCCAAAATCTCCTGTCCTCAACACACCCTGGCTTAAAACTTGCGAATTCAATCCTGTGGCTTCCCTGAGCAAGTCCGTCCGCCTCGTATTGGGTCTTCCTCTTTTCCTGCTGCCTTCCCCCTTATCCCAGCAGGATGTTGTTTTCCGGACATAATCCTGCCTTCTCATGAATGTGCCCCAAAGTAGGACTGGCTCAATTTCAACATGTTTATACTTCTAACAAAAATATAACTGTTAGCCTCCTTCCGTGCAAGTCAGTTCGATGTATAGATGGATCGGGAAAATGCATGCGGAAATTAAGATTTTTGTAGAATGTACCTCTGTGTGGTCTGTGAAGCTGGTCCTTGACAGGAGCTGGACGTAGTGATCCACAGGGTCCCTTCCAGCTGCCGTTCTATGATGATGATGATGATGATGATGATGATGATGATGATGATGATTAATGTGCCCATCTTGGTTTCTGTTTCCTTCCCCCACCAAGGCTGGCAGCCAAGATGTGAAGGGGCATGGAATTGGCCTCGTTTGTGATGCTGTGTCTGCTTTTCCTCCGCGCGGCTGAACAGGCCGAAGCCTTCGTTTGCCAGATCTTCTCCCCGCAAAGAGCCAGTTGCCGGGGCCAGAATCTGGTGAAGGTCCCTTCAAATCTCTCCAGCGCTCTGGAATTTTTGGACCTGTCGTACAACAAGATCAAGTCGGTCACATCCGGGGATCTGTCCGCCTTGATCCGCCTGAAGGGTCTGGACTTGGGTTATAACAACATCGTGTCGGTGGCGCGCGACGCCTTCTCCGCCAACGTCCTCTTAGAGCAGCTCATCCTTTTTAACAACTCGCTGAGGGAGATTCCTTCCCAGGCCTTGAAGCCGCTCAAGAACCTGAAGGTGTTGTCCATGTCGAACAACCTCTACCCCCGCGCCACCCTGGACGCCACGTTCGGCGCCCTGAAGAACCTCGAAGAGCTTTCGATGGGAGGGCCTGCCATCGCCACGGTGGGACGGGAGGATTTCCTGCCCTTGGAAGCCGTTCCTCTGAAGAAGTTCGCCCTGAAAACCGCCTCCAGTTTGAGGGAGTACCAAAGAGGGGCCTTCTCTAAGCTCAACACCTCCGCTTTGTGGTGCGACATCGCTCTGGACAACTACGCCGAGGCTCTGCCCCTCATCCTTCGGGACTTACGGGGAAAGCCCCTGAAGTACCTACGCTTCCGTAATCTTTTTAAGTTCACCTACTACACCGACGCCACGGACCTTTTCTCCAGCTTGGCCGAGGTAGACGTTGAGGAGTTAGTCTTTTTCCGGGGGAAATTCAACGAGAACTTGCTGCGTTTGGTCCTCCAGAATGTCCAGAAGTCTCCCATCCGGGACCTCTCGTTCATCGCTATCGATTTCGCTCGGTCCCCTGAGTGGAAGCCCACGGAAGCCGGCGTCGCCAACCTCACCCTCCGCCGCCTTGTGCTGAAGGACATCAGCAACCCGGACATCCTGCGCTTTGACTGGACCTTCACCTGGTTCGCCGGCGTGACCTATCTTTCCATCCTTAACGTCAACTTTAATTTTGTGCCGTGCGACGCCTGGGAAGAGATGAGGAACCTGGTGGCCTTGGATGTTTCCAACAACCGCTTGACGGACGAGTATATCTACAACGAGGCCTGCCTTTATCAGGGCATCGTCCCCCATCTGGAGCAGTTCAACCTGAGCTACAACGCCTTGGCCCGCCTTGGAACGGTAGCCAGGCTGACCGCCCACTGGCCCCGACTCTCTGCCCTGGATCTCAGACACAACCAAATTGGGAGCGCCAATGATTTGCCCTGCACTTGGACCCGCAGCCTCGTCTGGCTCACCTTGGCTTACAACGCGGTTACGACGGACATCTTCCGGTGTCTTCCCACCACCCTGAGCTTCCTGGATTTGTCTCATTCGCAGCTGGAACGGCTGGAGATGGGCTACTTCGAGGCGGCTGTGGACCTCCAGGAACTGCTGCTGACCGGGAACAAGATCAAGTTCATTCCAACCGAGTGGCGATGTCCAAACCTGAAGCTCTTGGCCGTGGACGGCAACTCGTTCGGCGTCATCGGCCGAGGCTCCTTCGTCAACATGCCCCGCTTGACTCAGCTCAAAGCAGGGAACAACCCATACCAATGTGTCTGTGATCTCCACCGTTTCCTCCAAGAGACCTTTGGGAACAGGAAGCTGACGCTGCTGGACTGGCCGCACGGGTGGACTTGTTACCACCCAGAACCCCTGCTGGACACTCCAGTGGCGGCTTACAACCCATGGGTGACAGAATGCGATGTCACGGTGGTGGTGGCCATTGCCGTCTCCATCACAGCCACGGTGATCGTGGTCTGCATGGTTCTGTGCTGGAGGTTCGACCTTCCGTGGTACCTCAAGGCCACGTTCCAGATCGTTCGCTCCAAATACAGGGCCGGCCGCTCCCAAGGGTCCCGGCCTTTTACCTACCACGCCTTCATCTCCTACAGTTTCTCCGACGCCGAGTGGGTGAGGCGGGAGCTCCTCCAGAAGCTCGAGGCTTCATCCCCGCCTTACCACGTGTGCATCCACGAACGGGACTTCACGCCGGGACGCTGGATCATCGACAACATCATCGACAACATTGAGAAGAGCCACAAGGTCATCTTCGTCCTCTCGCGGAGTTTCGTGGACAGCGAATGGTGCAACTACGAACTCTACTTTGCCCACCAGCGGGCAGTCGGGCTTGGCTTTGAGGACGTGGTCCTGGTGGTGAAGGAAGCCATAGACCCCCAGGCACTGCCCCACAAGTTTTACAAACTGCGGAAGATGTTGAGCGCCAAGACCTATCTGGAGTGGCCGGCCGAACCCACCCGACAGGCCTTCTTCTGGCTCCAGCTGACGTCGGTCCTGGGGAAGCCCGCAAGGGTCCACATGGAGCCGAAGGACCATCCAGAACACGCCGATCCGAGGCCGGGTGGGGTGGCCGCCTCTCATCGGGAGACAGGCAGTTTCACCGAAGGAAACTCTGCAACGGACGTCCCTTTGGAAGTCAGGAAAAGCCAAACGTAAGCCGACACTGTGCCAAAAGATTTGAGTTTTCTTCAACCAGTGCCACCCTGGCTTGCGTAGAATCAGCAAAGGGCTTGTAGGCGAGTGGTCGCCCCCAGATGTAGCAAAGGTCAAAGGTTCCCAAGGTCGAAGCCCTGGGATTGTTTTGGTCTGCCGGGATGATCTTGATCGCCGGCCACTCCGGCGGGTGCGGAGAAATGTGGAGTTGGAAACGAGTTCAAAGGCCATCCGGCCCAACCTCCAGCAAATGTGGGAAATCCCTCTGAGCTTAGGGGCAGCCCCACATGTTGGGGTCCCTCCCCTGGAGCTTGAACTGTTCTAGGGACCCCTTTGCAACCAGCAACGAGGTCTGGGTCACCCCCGTGATGGTCGTCAATGGGGGTCGATCCACAACAAATCACCACCCTTTCTAAAAAGAATGTGGGACTCTAGGAGCTTCTGGGGCTCCTTCGGGAGCCGGAAGCTTAAGTTTCATTAGTTTTATCATAACTCACGAGAACAATAGTAAATTTTCGTCCGGGACACTTCCTTGCTGCGTTAAATCACCCCGTCGCTCTACGACATCATGCCAGGATGATTTGACCTTCGGACAGGAGAGCCACCTACGTTCGAGTGGCCCTTTGGAATGACCATTTCTCCATCACATGTCTGGTGTATCTGTATTATTTATTTTAATTTTATGGAGGCTGATAGGACACAAACGCTGTCCACGAACAGTTTTTGATACCGTTTCCCTAGATTTTGGCTGATAGGGACTCGTAAGGTCGCCATTGTCCCTAATTTGCCCCAGAATTCTTCTGACAAGTTTTCCAAACTGCCTTATCAATGGCTTTTAACCATTCCATACCCAGCCCTCTTTTCATCCTCTCCGACCTTCGAGTTCTGGGGACACAGAATAATTGACCATAAAAATGTGGAAGGGCCTGACTCTTAACTCCGACACCAGATGCCAGGGAGGCCTCAAAGGAAAGGTGATGCCCTGCCCCTGAAAAGCCTCAAAGCCTCAGGCGTCTGGCCTAAGCGCCACCCTGGAGGAATTTGAACCTCGGTTTAATGTTTTTATAGGAGACAGGGCTGGGCGCTGTGTGGCTCCAGGCGCTTCCTGTTTGCTAGCAAACATGCTCTAGAAAGGAACCGGCATCCACCTTCTGGACCGCCCAATCTGATGTGTTGAGATTTTTGTCTGATACAGCATCAGTGGCAAGCCTTATAGGGAGTGGTGAGCCGTAAAATCGCCGGGGTCTGGGAAAATGTTCAAGGACTCTCTTTTCAGAGGTACAGTAAGACTGCGGGATCGGTGCACCACCCCCTGTGGATGCTGGAAATAGCAGATAAGTGAAGCACATCCGGTTTTCTTCATTGTCCGTGCACCGTTCAGAGAGAAAAGCCTGTCCTGCTCTTGCCAAAGGACTGGGATTCCTGCTCTCTTGTCTGCAAGGGAACTTTCCCTGAAACCAGCGACTGCCACCACCGCCACCCTGTCCCACCGTGCACATTTCCCTTAAAACGGCTTCCCTCGGAGAAATCAGACCACCGGTGTATTTCCATTAGTCTCTGGTTCCATCTAGTGGACAGTGGTGGTAATACACCTTGGAAACATGTATTTCTGGGTTTTATTGGGTTTTATTTATTCAGGCAGTGGATAAGTGAAACAGTGGGTTCTGATCCCACAGACATGGGAGTCCTGCCTCTTTAGACTTTAGAGGAGATTTTTAAAAAACACACATTTCACTAGAATTTGTCCAGTTTTTGGTCTGGAGTTACAGGCCTGCTCACTTTCAAGCCTGACGCATTCACAGACTATTATACAACACTATTTGGTTTGATGCTGCTAATGGTCTTTTTTTAATTGCATATTTGTGCTTATTAATATACGTTTTATTTGGTTGTAGCCTGCCCAGCTGCTTTGCACTAACGGGGTGGTATATTCATTCGTTCATTCATTAAATAATAAATAAATAGGCAAATAGATTTGCATTATTCACAGTGATAAATGTTGCACGTGTGTGATTGTTCTTTTGCTAGAGAATTTTGTATAATTCTTTTCATGGTTTCTATTTTTTCCAAGGATTTTTCCAT